CTTCTTCAGTATTACCCATAGGGAATAAACAAGCCTAGGTTTTCTCATGGCATGGAAATAAGTTGTTCTCTCCAGGTATATCAAATGACATGACATGAAGGCATTTCCCACTATAAGCATGGATAAGCTGAAGGCCTGGATTTAAATGTGAGCAGAGAGGGTGTGGATAAACAGTGTTCAATGCAATGTACACAGCTGATGGATGTTTAGGTTCTGTTTAGCCTAAATCACTTGTGGGAAACCCCTAAAGCAAATTCTGGCTTATCTTCTTATCTGGCTTATATTCTTATCTTCTCAGCTGTGGTGCCTTATGATGTGTTGTGTTTTATGGCTCTTCCTTCAAAAGTTTGGGGCTGTGAATCTGTTGTGTGAGAATCCCTCACTGAGTTCTGTGTTGTGTAAACACACTGTAAATAAGCCAAGCAATACAGAGCCTGCTACCAACTCCAGCACCCCTGACACTGCTCACAACCACGCAGTTTTCGTGTCAGGACAACCTGTTGCACAATTTAACATTGCAGATACACCATAAAAGCTTTTATTACTAGATTTGAGACCCAGTTTGGGGAATACTCAAAGAAATACCCGTGAAAGAAAGTACAAAGCGGAGTTCCAGTGGTACAGTCCCAGCTGACCTGGGTCTGTGCGAGAGGCAGCGGTGGCTTTGCTCACACAGGAGTTGTGCAGGCAGGGAGTGGTGGTCAGAGCCCAACTTTTTATTCCACAAGCCCTCAGAGGTGCTTTCTAAGAGAGGTTCATGACCCACTGCTCTATCTTCATTGCTTGCTCCAATAAGGACTCGCATGCAAAGGCTCTGGAGGATCAGATGTGCTCATCAATAGGTGGAGCTTAGAAAAGATCACACTCTGTGGTGGTTTGAAAAACACAGGAATTTCAAAAAAGGCCAATTTAAAGGGGTTGTTACGATTTGTTCTAATGTGAAAGGGAAGAAGTTTTCAGACACATACAACTTGGTATTAGGGGAAGGGAAATATTTACAGGGTTTATTTACATACTTATATATATAACAACTTAATTATTTCTTCTACAGTAAAATAATATATTACATTAGATTTTCTCCTTTCTTTCAAAAAGAGTCCAAGAAGAAAGGAGAAGTAGTCCTTTTTTTTGCTTTCAAACTATAGTTCTTCTAAATTAATTTCTTGTGGCACTCTTAAGTATCTCTTATCTTGTCTTTATCCCCTGTTTTTACTTCGTGTAAATCCCAGCTCCCTCGAGTTCATGTTCCTTCTCTTCTTGCCATCCCATATGTACTGCTCTGTCCTCTCAGGGATTGTCACTTGGGAAAAGCCTTGTCTGCAAGGGACAAAGTAAAAGGCAAAAATTCCTGGTTCCCACTCTCCCCCTGCCAACCAGCTGAGGGCTGTGCTGCTGAGGGCCAGGCAATGGTCAAAATATTTATGTAATGTTTGATTCATGCACTACCAGTGAATGGTTTCATAAAAATTCCCCCCCAAAAAAGCATTATTAGTCCATATTATCACGAAATTTCCACGCGCTTTTACCTGGGTCTGGTTGTGATGTGGTGCTTGCATGAAATGATCTTAAAAGGGCTCCATGCTGTTAAATGGAAATGAAGTTAATGAACCTGGGAATTGTCCAAAGCAACTGCAGAGACTTGGGCACCTGCTGTTCAGGGGTGTTTTTAATGGAATTAGGGCTCCTGTTTCCCTTAGCTTGCTTTGAAAGTCACAGTTAAAGGCTCTTGAAGTTCATGGAAGTTCTTTTATACCTGAAATATAAATATCATCAGGCTGAAGTGTTCAAAATCGTGCCTGTTAAACTGTTAAAAATGTTGGACAAATAGGTAAATCTGAAGAAAATCTCAGGCCAAAAACCTAAGACTAAATTTTTATATACTAATACAAAATAAGGTTTTTTTGCCCACCTGCTCCCCAGGGGACATTCCGTGGCTGAGTTTGTAATTCCAGCCATAATAGAAAATGTCTGGAAATCAGCTTTCTTTATCTGAGAAATACAGTAATTCCTAGTAGCATCTAGTCATTTAAACAAGCTTGTACTGGCTCAGGAGTAGTGATAGACTGTGCTTTGGGTTGGGATGAAGGAACATAAATCACCAAGTGTCAGGCAGCTTAGAAACCACTGTGTCCTCATGACTGTTTAATAGAGTACAAGGGGAATTGCTTTCAAGCTACGGAAATCTCATATCCAGCCACCCATTGGTGAAGCTTTAAAAAAGAAGAGAATTGTTCTCTTATGAGTCTTGGCATAAAAATTTAATTAGCTGTTGAGCTCTTTCAGAAGATTAAAAAAAAAAAAGTGATTTCTTTTTATACAGTCACTTTCCTTTAACTGTTTACTTTCTATTTCTGTGTTGTTCACACAGATGGGATCTGCAGCCTTCTGCATCTACCTTTTTTCTCTCTTTCAATAGTGATTTTGAAATTATTTTACCCAGTTTCAGGAATTTTATTTTTTCTTTTTTTTTTCATTTGTTTCAGCATATTTGAACACTGTTCTTGGAAGACATTCAGAACAAAAGTCAAAGACATAAATGAATACATAATCAGATTTATATTTGTAGTGGATACAGAACTGCTGCTGTTACATCAAATAATAATAATGATTACTGTCATTGATAGATTTGTTGAAATTACTCATTCTTTATATGAGTACAGATGAGTATATATTAATTAGAAAATCAGTCCTCCGCTGAAATCAGGTATATTTTTATTATTTATTATAGTTTCATCTCATTAGCATATCTGTTATTTTGCTCTCAAAGGCATTAAATTTCATGACAGTGCATCATACCCAGGCCTGTGACCCTACTCAGCAACTGAACCCTTTCAACCAGCTGTTAATTGCTTCTCTATATTGCCATCAATATCTTTAAAGACTGAAACCAAAAATAATATACTTTAGGACTCAGTTGAAATTTAGAACCAAAGTTACTTGCATGGTCTAGGAATTGACCTTTGTTTTTCTAGATGAAGAGAGAAGTGTGAAATGAATTTTTCATACATGAAGTTGTTTATTTCCTGGAACTGTTCTTTAGAAATGTCTTCCACTTTCATGTCTTGCACAAGCCATTGTTTTTTAAACTTAAAAAAAAAAATCGAGTTTTAAACTTAAAAAATTCGAGTTTTCTTTTTGAAAAACACCAAAACAAAGTGTTTTGACACTTCTGAAGCTCCCCTTGCACCTTCTTTGGAGAGCAGGGTCAGACTCTGGATTTGAAGGCACTGAGTATAATAGCAAATATTCTCCTTGCAGTACCAGGCTCTTTAAGCTTCCAGAATAATCTTGTTGTCCATGGAGGTCAGTGAAGGAAAAATAACTATTGTTACAAGTGACAAGAGTGTGTTTGACGTGGTTGGTCCTCAGATTTTGTTGTTTTCCTTTAGGAAAGGAAAGGAAGGAGAGGCCAGTTGGGCTCTTTTGTACACTCTGTCTGGTGGGAGTCTGACTGTCCTCAGGTGAAGGGGGTCAGAAAATCATAGGGAATTTTGAGTTGGAAGAGACCTCTAAAGATGATCCAGTTCCAAGCCCCCATGGGCAGGAGTGTGGCTGGAAATTGGAGCTGATGCTGAGATCTGAGACTACAGTGAGGAAAAAAAGAACAGCAGGTCAGCCCTCAGAAGGGAGAAAAAGAAAGATTTCCCAAGACCCAGAAGACTGGGTAAGACTGTTTTTTAGGAAATAGCTGACCTGGCTGGATTTGAGGACTCATCTTCATTGGGGAGAGTTGCATAAATAAGTATGGTTTAATTTTACTCTACTTTAAAAATCACTTTGAGCTTTTTCTCTTTACAGATAAAGTCAGGTGATGTGCCTGTTACTGGTATAAAACCTGGTATTATAGGAGAGCTTTAAAGCCCTTGGGCTTTGGAAAATTTACACTAAGAAAAACTTTGTTGCACTTCTGTGTTCTGGCTGGGCTCACTAAGTTAGACCAGTCTGCAGAAAACTGGTCCCTCTGTCTTCTTTCCACAGCCTTTCTTTGAGTGCCAATAAACCAGACCTGAAATGAGCAATGCAAAGCAAAGGCCAAACCTCCCAGGAAGTTTTATATGACTTCAAAGCCTAAAAAACTTAAAGAACAGTGAAGGACTGGGTGGAAAAAGGAATATGGTTTAAATGAAGTGAGACAAATTATGCAGTCATAAAAGGTTTTTGAATCTTAATACAGTCAGAGATCACAATTCCTGCTTTCCCTCTCAGTGCATGAGGAAAGGTACCCACACAAATAATTTACTTTCTATACAGCATTGTAACCTCAACATTTTATTTTGATGCTCTTCATTTCAAAATAATACAATTACAAAACCATGGGGGTTTTTGGCTTGTTTGGAATTTTTTTTTTTTTCTTTCTAAGAGAGCTAAATGACATAATAATGGAAGTAAAACCAGTCTGTTTTGGTAGAATGAGACTTTTCTGGCATACCTAGATTCTTCTTAAGCTTGACAGCTCATTCTGTTTTAGGAGTAAGTGTCTTTTGGAGATATCCTCTGAAGTTATCTGTTCTCTCCATCAGTAGAAGGAATTGTTTGGGCTGCTTCTTTATCCCTGCTTTGTGATCCTGCAAATACAACAGTCATGCTTCAAAGTCTGAATCTTGGCATTTGAAAGACATTTTGGATTTGATATCTGGTATAAAATTTCTTCAGGGTAAAAGACCTGCTACATGGATTTATCTAATCCCACAATGTTATTTGCACACTTTTCCTGCAAAAAAAACCCCCAGCAAACAACAAAGAAGGCAATTTATTCTCCACAGTAATGTTTATGGAACTTTTTTTAAGTGGTGGAATATAGACTTTTAAAAGCCATTTTCTGAAGGGTATATTTTTAAAGGTTGTATTACTAAAAATCCATGAGGTAGGATAGCAATGTATTAATACAGACAATTTAATATTTAACTTTGGGGGAAGTTTTAAATCAGCAGAACTCTTCTGGGGTTTTTAGCCATCATTTCCAGCTGTGAAAAACTTGTATCTTTAATTGTTGTTTTCAGTTTTACAGAGTTTTTGGATCCATTCCAGCGGGTGATCCAGCCAGAAGAGATCTGGCTGTACAAAAATCCTCTGGTGCAATCAGACAACATCCCTACACGTCTCATGTTTGTAAGTACTAAAGGCTTGTTGGTCATTTGATGGCTGCAAACTTAAGAACACTTTCATTTGTTGAGCAGCAGGAAATCTTTTGAAAGCAGAGGGATGTTCCTTTAATTCTAAAGAGAACTATTTACCAAACCAGGGATGTCCAAAATGACAAAACGTAGCAAATCATGGGGAGTTTGTAAAAAGCAGCGTTGTCAGGTGGCTGAATTTATGACTGTTGATTTTTCAGTTTAAGAGTTAAGGTGGTTTTAGCTTAGAGGAAAGCTAGAGAAATGAGTGGAGAAGCTTTTTCAGTTAGCTGGTTGGGTGACCTGACAAAACCTTGCCATGCTTTTGTTGGGTTAAGTGCTTAAATTCTGAAATCCAGTTTGGTTTAGGTGTGTTAGACACTGAGATACTTGACTCCAAAGAGTCCTTTTATGAGGTGACCATGTATCCCAGCCTTCTAAGACAGAGGCTGAAGGCCTGCTTTTAAATTTGCCAACATGTTGTTTATATTGAATTAAGAAACAACTCTACTGTGGACTTTTTCAGCCTGGATGAATGAAAATATATGTTTTTCCTGAAATGGAAGAGAACTATGTAAAAAACCCCAAACAAATGAAAAACAAACAAGCAAAAACAAACCTCAAACCAAACGTTAAATTGTTGTGCTGGGAAAGGCTGAATTGGATTCTGTTGTTTTTCCTTATGCTGAGCATTACTTTGCTACATGATTTCTCTGATCTGTGTTTGTAACTGAAGAGTTCAGGAGCCAACAGTGAATCATTGCCCAGGGTTTGCTGCAGGTGGTGGAACTGTTTTTCAAATCAGTTGTGATAATCATTAGTCCATCCTCTTGTTCTCCAGGCAGTAGCCACTGGGAAGCACAATTTTGGGATATAACTGTAATACGTTTCCCTGTTGAGCACTTCCCAAAGCCAGCTTTTATAAACTTCATGGTGGGTGGGACTTCCAGGCAACTCTGTGTCAGCAACTTTTGCATGGACTGTGTGTTCCCTTTCTGGCTCAGGTTTTAAAAATATCAGTAACTCAGTGAACTGCTGCTGAAATTAAGAAATGGAGCTAATTTCTAGATTTTTTTTTAATTTTCTAATTTATGTAATTAAAAAGAAGAAAAATCCAACTCTAGCATTGATGACAAGCTTTCATTACCTAAACAATTTCTCACCACTAGTGTTGTACTCCAATATTGAAATGTATGGCTGTGGCTCACCAGGAGGTGAACTGCAGGATTAATTTATATGGGGAGAGATTTGAATTGAAGTGAAATGTTGTGAATACTCCAAACCGAAATCCAGATTGGATGAAGCTGACTCCTGCATGGGTAGCCAAGGATGGAAAGCTCTGAGCCTTGTTCTGTCTATCAGTGGATATTCCTTGTCTTGGAAAGTTTAAGGCACTGCCAACTTCCCTTGAGTGCATGGAAGTGTGTGGGAGTCCCTGTAACTTCAGCACCTCTCTGACTTGCCAGGATTTATAATAAATGAGAGAGATTTTTGCCCACGTTTCACAAAAGCCAGGAAAATGTTGGAATATTTCACTGCTGGAAAAAAAACCACCTTGCTGAAATGCAGTGAGGAGAGTATTGCTCATCAGAATGTTGCCAAATCTGTTAAAGAGATGAACCATACAGAATCTTTTTTGCAAAATAAAAAAAAAGGAGGCTTTAGCAAGCCAAGATTTCTTTGTATGTGCATTTTGCTGCAGAATAAAAAGCACCTTCCAGCTAATGCTTTTGTGTAAGGAACAGTGATGTGCTGCAGACATGAATAGTTCATTTCTCTCAAAAATTCACGTGCTTGTGAAATATGAGGAAATCTGCAGTTTTGCCAGGTTTCTGAAGATTGATTGGAAAGTGGTTTGGAACAAGCTGCCACTTGAATGCTATTCTTTGTTGATATTTTCTGCTGCTCCTGCATGTTCAAAAGATTTCTAACTCCATTAAACCACCACTGATATTGGCCTTGGCTGTATTTCGACGTGTTTTTCAACAGTGGGATGCAGATATCTTTCTTCTTTCCTTTCCTGATTGGCAATCCTTACTTTTTAGAAAGAAATTAGCAATTCCAGATTTTGCTTTAACTTTTTTTTGTGTTTCACTCTCTGTCTCTGAAAGCAGAAATCAAACTATTACTGAGGATGGAGAGAAGTGAACGTTTCTGAAGCACTATCGTGGCATTGGCATCTGAGCTTGAATCTCACACACACTGGAGACAGAAGGGAATTTTAAGTAGAAATGGTGCATCTTTTTGCACAAAACTTGATGCCTGCCTTTCTAAATGTAGATAAGGGGAGCAGACTCCAGACTGTGTTTTAATGTGTGTGGCTCGCTGGGTTAGATAATATTTTACAGATATAGGTGAGGGCAGCTGGTGCAAGATGCACAGCCAAAATAACAAATACAGTGCACTTTCATGTTGTTGCCTACTCAGATATTCTAAAAGCATAAAATGAGGACTGGGATTAATCTGTGTTATGAAAAGAAGATTGAGTCACACATCTTTTGTCATATCTGTCCTCTCTGGTTTTTATTTCAATGGGGGCTCTTCAAGAAGTAAGGCACTGTTCAGCCTCAGTAAAAATGACAATCTTACTTAAGCCCTGGCATCCCATGTGCCATTTACAGCTTAATTTTGGCCTTGTTTTTTTTTAAAAAAAGCAAACCCAAACAAACTAATAATCAAGAAAACAGTCATTTTCACTCTTCTTTAAGAGAATAAATGCTTTTGAAAGACTGGGATTTATTTTTGAACAAGTGTGCTGGTGAAGAGGTTTGTAGGGTCAAGAAAGGAATGGGTTAATTTAGGCTGGAACCAGCAGGAAGCATAAATACAAGTTGCTTTTCACCTCTGCAGCTGAAACTCTGAGACAGAAGGGACGATGGAAGGGCCAGTTGGGAACAAAATCCTAATTCCCATGGCAAGCTGGTAATGAAAAACTCCTTGGTACTGTGCTTGGGACAAACTCATGTGTCTCTCTGGAGAAAGGCAGTAAATACCTGCTCTGGGAGGCCAGACTGCAGCAGGCAGACACTGGCCCAAAATACCTTTTGGCTCCCATTTACAGTGAATCATCCCAGCCCAGACTGCTCTGTGATAAGAGCTGCTGTTCCTGGAAACCAGGGGTGTGCTTTGATGCACAGATGCCATCTCAGGTTCCTTGGAGGAGGAATCCTGCCCTGCAGTACTGACAATAAAACAATAAGGTTCTGCTTAACCAGGGACTGCACTTGTAGGTGCTCAGGTGTTGTTTTTCTGCTTTTGAACAAATTCAAGCAGTTTGCTCCACATCCAGCACTTGCAAACAAAAGGATCATAAAGACATGATTTTCCCAATGCATTCAAGAATGGCAGTTAAAAAGAAAACAAAAAGTAAGCTAAAGAACATTTTAAAATGCTGGGAAGTTGGTGCTGAAGTCTGTTGTGTTGAGGAGGATCCTGCTGAGCACACAGCCTGGATGGGCAGCAATGCTCAGTGTGGAAAAAATGTACAAGGTCTGTGTATGAATTTTGTGGGCATTATAGACTGTTACTTTTTCATTTGAGAAGCTGACACTTTAAATGCAGCTCTAGGCAATTACAAATCAATTATAACCCACGGCTGTGTTAGAATTTTAATGTGTTCGAAGACAAATCATCCCATTTTATTGAAGGTCAGGAGCTGGATAAAGATCATTCGGCTTCCCAGTTTAAATGGAGCTAACTGAAGCTAATTATTAATCAGCTGGACTGAAAGGGGATTGCTGCTCTCACACATGGTATTTGTTATCTCTTACAGGCCATTTCGTTCCTCACACCACTCGCAGTCATCTTTGTGGTGAAAATAATCCGTCGAACAGACAAGACTGAAATTAAAGAGGCTTTCTTAGGTAAAGTATGTCATACTTCAGAGATGGAAAATGTGTGATAGCTCTTGGAGATTGATTCCAACCGTGGTCTAAGCCTTGAAGAAAACCTTTCTCTGTTCCAGCCCATTACAGTAGTTTTCTGTGCAAGCCATCTCACAAAAGCCTTTGGTTTTAGGTGTGTTTCTAGATGGACAAATTCTATGCCTTAATTCCACAATCCAGCTAGCAAGGCCTGGAATTTGATCAGCAGAGACAAGTCCATCTGAGACACTGTTCAGATGGATATTTTTCTGTCACACCCCATCTATTACTTACCTCTTATTTATACTTGCAGCTCTTGTAAATTAAGGGTTTGACTGGGAAGTCCTGTGAGATTCAACTGCTTAGTGTAGGAATTTACACCTCTCATTGTTTCCTCTGAGCTTCTCAGTGAGTTTACTGTTACCCATTGCAAAATCCGTGATCTTGGCTCAGCTTTTCTAATTAAAAGCTGATCTTTCATCTTAAACTGCCCATGGAATTGGATATGCACTTTATCCTGGGCTGTGAACTGCAATGGCTTGTTTTGGATCAGGTCTGATTAAGGCTGTGGGCAGAAAATTCGAGCAGAGGAACAGGTAGACAATGGGGAGGGTAAGTCTTAAGCTGTTCCAGCTAATTCTGGCTCTGCCTGTCCTTTGAAGTATTAGTGATGCATGCCCAGATCTTTTTTACATAGATATTGCCAGAGACCAATATTGACTAAAGCACTTCCACTGGCGGAAGATACTTTGAAGCACTAAGAACTGCAAATGTTTTTGTTGGCATTATGTTTGAAATATGCATAGTTCTGAAATTGTTTTCCTGGCTAATTTACACTTTAATTTATTGGCCCTTACATAGTAAAACCAAAGCAATACTCAGCCTTGCCTTAGCTAGATGGGATGTAAATGGCATGATGTATCTGCCTGAGAAAAATCTTTCTGCACAAGGCTGCATTCCCTTAGCTCCTTCTTTCTCCAGCTGCTCTAGCACAAGTGTGAAATGATCCCAGTTTTGTTTTGGCTGCTGCCACTCGTTTGTAGTAAGTTCTGAAGTGTCTTACAGTGATATTTTCCTGACAAGTCCATTCAGTAGAAAAAACCCTTCATTCATAAAATGCACACAGTCACAGTTCTGAGCTTCCCCTCCCCCTTGTGTAAAGAATGAAAGGAACTTGGGGTAGTTTCTCCATCACTTATTCTCACCTTTTTGTTCTAAAAGCACTTTTTTTCCTGCTGTTTTGCCTTCTGATTTGACACCCTCTATAATGTCTAGGAGAAAACTTGCCAGCTTCCCCAGCACTCCTCTTGCTACGTAGACTTGGAGGAAACACCAGCCTTGATGTTCTGTTCAGTTTGTACCATAAGTGTGGAACTTCTTGTGGCTTATTTCTGTTCAAGTGTGCTCTGCATTAATAGGAGTCAGTGTATTAATGTGTCTGGTGATGTGAAGGTTCATTAGCTGTGGTGGAGCATTGCTGATTTGCAGAGATCTGGCAAATAATGTTCATGATGAATGATCAGGAAGTCCCTGCAAAGGAATTTCTCTGGGCATGACACGTAGAAGAAAGAAAAAAAGTTAAAAGCACGTGAAAATTCTTTGCCCCTCATACAGCCATTAATGCAGAGAAGGTGGTTCAGTGCACCAGGGGTAAGGAGGAGTTAAATTCCTACATGGAGATGCCCTTCAACCTTCCCTTGGAAGTCCCTAAATCTCTTACTGGCTGGATTATACAATGGGCAATATAAATATTTCCTAAAGGGAACAAAATGAGAGCAAATTGAATTTATCATCCTACAGTCACACTGTCATTTGATCCCTCGATTGTCATCGTGAGGAATATTCAACAGTGAAAGTGTGGTTCAGTCAGGGGTGCAATGAATAATCAAGACAAAGCTCAGCAAAAAGAGTAAATTATACTGCAAGTTTTCCAAAGTATTTTTTAAAAGGGGAATTTAGTGCTGTGACCTTGCTGGTCACGTGCATTTGATTATGTGGAAAATTTCCCTCATGCAATTACCATCAAAAACTGAGACAAAACAACTGAGGGGGGAAAAAAGAGCGTGGAATTGAGTGGTCACTGTGAGCAGAGGTGGAAAGAGGAAGACTTTTTTTGACAATATGAGTGTCTCTAGGATTGAGTTGTTCTTTTATTTTTGCTGGCAGCTATTGCTATAATCTGAGAAAACCCTTATTTTTGCTTTGACGAAGGACCTACTTTTTTTTTTTTAAACTTTAAAAATAGATGCTATGACACACATTTTTATGATCTATAGCATCCTCAGGCAAAGATTTTATGGGTGAGTGCTGCTGAAGTGCAGCATCTGGGGCAGCAGCCCAATGAGAAAATAGCTCATGGAGCTGTCAGAATCCAAAGTTACATTACTGTAATGTTTTCCTGCAAATTAGAGATTTACCTAGTAACTTTTTTCTGATGGGAAATAAAATTCAGTGGCCCTTATTTTGTAACAGAGAGCTATGGTGTGGACTGCAAAATTAAATCAGTTTTAACCCAAAAGGAGTCTATATGCTAGATCCAAGTGCCCCTGAAATCCAGGCAGGGATCTCCACAGGCTTGAGATGAGGTTCTTCAGAAAGTCTACAGACTTGACATGCAACTACAAATAAAAAAGATGATTCAGTCCTACCTGGTAGGTAGGTTCCTGTTTATTACTCCAATTTTATTAGAAAAATTGGTTAATCCTGGGAGCAAATGTTAGGGGAAAACATGGAGATTTTTATTCATAACATCCACATCCTTTCAAAAGGAAAATAAAAAAGTCATCCAGTTCTAGTTTTAGTCAAAAGTCAATTCTTAGCTTGAAATTGGACTGTTTAATATATATATACATGAGCACACATACACATATGTGTATATATATATATATGTTACATATAGGTCTATACAGGAATTCTCCTTGACCCAAAGAGCCTAAGTTTTCCACCTGGTAAATTACAAACCTAAAAAATTGCAAACCCACAGTGCTTTATTCTCTGATTTTTTTCCCATTTGGTGGTTTATGCCTGTGCAAATGGCATGACAGGAGAGCTGGCTTTGTGTGGGAAAATAAGATTTCTCAAGAGTAAAAGCAGAACAAAGTAAGTCATGATTATTATGATGCTTTGGGGTCTGTTCTTAGTCTGGGTAATAAGTAAAACAGAAGGCTGCAAAGATCAGTCAGTTTTCAGTCCAGCAAAGGTTTCTGTCTGGGAATCAAATGCTGTAATGCTGCAATTTATTGCTTGGTATTTAGGTTGTTATTGTTCTGTTTGTTCATTCTGTTTTGTAGCTGTTTCCTTGGCTCTAGCTCTGAATGGTGTCTGCACAAATACAATTAAATTAATAGTGGGAAGGTAAGTCTTGTCATGTTATAAATGATAGCTTTAAATATTAAGATGAATGGAGACAGGTTGACAACTACAATACATCTTAATAAATAGTCGGCTGCTGTTCCCAAAGGTGTGGAGATGGAATAGGCCCCTGAGAGGTTGTTTTTTATGTGGTGCAGGTGTTGTACAACTCCATTCTGTGACATCCCACTGGGGTAGGAATCCATGCCCTCATGTTTTGTTATTTTTTTGAGGATCTGGCAGATCCAGACAGGTGAGGAGTTCGAAAGGAACGGTGTGAGCTAAAAAAAAGTTCATTAAATTGACAACACAGAAGGGGGAAGAGTCACAGCATATGGGAGTTGAGATGCCAGTGCCCCTTGTCTGATTAAGTGGAAATCAGTTGAGTCTCTGTGTAACCCAGTGCCTGCATTTTGTGAGAAGCATATTAGTGAGTGTGGGATTTCCAGGAGACACCAACATCCATGGCAGAACAAACCTTGGAGTGAAGCAATAAATGAACTCCTAGGCAGGGGCCATTTTTTTAAACATAAAGTTGAAGGACGGGTTCAGAAAAAATATAGCAAACAAAACTCCCTGAAAAGTGATTTTTAAGGTATTTTTTGGCTCTTTATCAAATTTTGAATAATTTCAGCTGAAAAATACGTATTTGACTTGAATTCATAGACTATTTAATAGATTCCAATGCTGCTTTTGTTGTTGACCTCTTTCACAGCACTGAGGGAGCAGTATTTGGTTTCTGATGAACCCTCTCTGCTGTGGTATTGATGCCATGACAGTAATGGTATTTGGTGCTTTTATTTTAAGAGTGTTTTTGAAAATAATTCAGAATCCATTTTGCTCATTTTGCCTGCACCCCAAGCCAGCTGGTGGCTCTCTCATCTTGTCTCTGAATCTGTGATTATTCCCTTTACTTTTTTAGGGGGTTTATTAGCTCAGGATCAGGATGACACCAGTCAAACCAGCTCAGAGCTGGGTCACAGGAAACTCAGAGGTTTGTTTAATGCACTTAGTCAGCATCAAGGCTGGTATTAGAATTTGGTGGTTGTTCTGGTGCCAGCCTTGTAGCCTCAGTTGTAGTCCTGGATGTGTTGGCAAGACTTGTGAGAATTTGTGAGTCATTCCATTGCCTGGCTCTGTCACTGGGGTGCTGTGCAAGGTTGATCACCAGGCAAGAGCAACCCTGCATGGGTGTTTTTAGAGACAGCTCCCACTTTCATGCTGTGCTAGAAGCTTCCCTATGAGAGCTTGCCTGCAAACAATGTGACCTTGAGTTGACAGACATGGTTTAGTGGTGGATTTGGCAGGGTTAGGTTTGCTCTTGAACTCCGGGGTCTTCAGGGTCTTTTCCAACCCAAATGACTCTGTGATTCCTGTTGCTGTGTTAGAGCTGGAGGGAATGAACTCTGTATGTAATGAGCAGTAAATGTAATAATCACTTTGAGGTTTATCTGTTACTACAGCTTTTATATTTTTAATATCCATGGTGTTTTTTGTAGACCGCGTCCCGATTTCTTTTACCGCTGCTTTCCAGATGGAGTCATGAACTCGGAAATGCACTGCACAGGTGATCCAGATCTGGTGTCTGAAGGCAGAAAAAGCTTTCCCAGTATCCATTCTTCCTGTAAGTTCATTTAAATACAGTGCCTCTTCTGTAAAAAGCTGTCCTTTCTGTACTTTGGAGTTGCTCTTTTGCTGTTCGATAATTAACCTGATTTTGGCTGGAGGGGTCTGCACTTCTGACTTTGCTCTCCACTCTCAGAAATTTCCTTCTGGAAATCAAGTTGTGAGCCTTTCTTACCTTGAGAACCATCTGACTTCACTGGGAGCCATAGGAGGACTGTCAGTAGAGTGTAACCCTGTTCAAGGTTACAGAACACAGTGGGATCCTGAGGGGTGTCTGTTCCCCAGTGCAGACCTTTGAATGCAACCTTTGTCTATATATTACATATTTATTTTTTTATATTCTGTTGAGGTATGAAGTAGGACAGTACAGTCATTTGTCACTTTTGGCTTTGAGGTGCTCCTCAGTTTAGGTCTGATGGTTTGATCACTTATTCCCAGTTTATCCTTTATCTTGACAGACATGTAGGTGGCCTCATAAAAACCCATCTGTGTGATTTAATGAGTTGTATTAACATAGATGTTTGCAAAGGTTCCTTCCTCTGTCTTAAAGAGTTTACTTCCAGGATGTTTCATATCAAGTGTCTAATAAAACTTCTTTTCATCAGTAAAATAATTTGATTGCTGTGAGGTTGGTTGGGTTCTTTGGCCAGGATTGTTTGTTGCCTTCTGGTGTTCTGTTGCTGAGAACTGTAAGTTGTATCTATGGAATTTGTTTTTCTGATCTTTTTTCAAAGTAGTAACTTCAAATTGCCTAATTGTGCAGAACTACATTATAAACAAGTTGGGTAATGAGATGAAGGAAATTGTAAGTTAATCTTGATTCCTTTTTCTTGTTTGAGTGCTAGAAATGGATAAGAGAGCAATAAATGTTTGTGGATTAGCTCTATAGTTCTAAACCACAAAACAACTTAGCTGTCTCAAATTTTGTTTGTAAACTTTGATTACATTAGAAGGACAATATCAACTGCAGCTGCTTGAACTGCTCAGCTGTTTGAAGACTGATGTTGTAATACCTAAATCTCTGACAAGCCTTAAAATCCACACGTATTTTAGTCTCATAACAGAGAAGGAAACCTTTAATTTGTCTTTAATTTGGCAGTCTGGCAGTGCTAATCCCTGCTTCGTCTGTGCAGCAAAATTATTTACATAACCAGGATTGTCAGTATTATTGTATCAAGAATAGTTTATAGTTGTGACCATACATTTAGTTTCTTGATGTTTCCTCATCCCCACTAGATTAAAGATTGAAAAGGGAAAAAAATATGATGGAAAGCATGCAATTATACTACCTTCCCAGACCTATGAAGCAATGAGGATGTTTGGGATATAATAGTTCGTGTTTGTAAATTCTTCCATAATTCTGCACTTTCTTATCTCAATTTTAAAAAGCTGTCCTTCCTGTCTTCTTAACATGTAGATGTTTTTGAACTTTCCTGTCATAAAGTCAGTCCAAAATTTTTTTCATGGCTCCTTTCTCCTCCCTTCAGCATAAGATTGCTACTACATCAAATGCAGGAGTTTGATTCTTCACATTTGTCATCTGTTCTCTGTGTGTGGTGGAATTAATGAAAAAGCATCAAAAAATATTTTTTTTGTTTGTTTGTTTCTGTTACTGTTTGAGGGATTTTTTTTTTTTCTATTTTCATGACTGGAGAAATGTAAGTGGGGAGGATGAGAGCTGACATAAACTATAATACCTCTCTTGGAATGATAGTTCCAAGTAGTCCACTGCAGTTTGGTGTTTCCTACTTGAACACACGAGGAAAATAAATCACCAGTAAGAGCTGCCAGGCAGCTCATAAAGTGAAGTTAGAGGCTTCAGTCAAGAGCCATTTTCATCTTCAAAGCATTTTCTCTCAAGGCATTTCTTGGATAGGCTGTCAATCAAATGCTTTGTCATAACAGAATCTAAAACCTCATCCATGCAAAATGAGGCCCTTACCGGGAAGGTCTGGGGTGCTGTGAATGTTGTGCTGTGAGGATGTGACACAGGGATGTGTATGGAGAGGGACAACACTGACTCTCTCAGATGGCCTGGCCTGACCCTGTGCACTCCTTAAAAATGTTGTGAACTGCCTGTTACCACTTGGAGAGTCATAGAATCATAGTCATAGAAGCAGTTGGGTTGGAAGGGACCTCTGAGATCATCAAGTCCAACCCTTGATCCAACCCCGCTGTGGTTCCCAGCCCATGGCACTGATGCCACATCCAGTCGTATCTTAAAAACCTCCAGGAATGGAGAATCCACCACTTCCCTGGGCAGCCCATTCCAATGGCTGAGCACCCTCTCTGCAAAGAAATTCTTTCTGATATCCAACCTAAACCTCCCCTGGCACAGCTGAAGACTGAACCCTCCTGTCCTACTGCTGCTTCCTGGGAAAAGAGACCAACCCCCAGCTGGCTCCCCCCTCCTGTCAGGGAGTTGCAGAGAGTGAGGAGGTCTCCCCTGAGCCTCCTCTTCTCCAGGCTGAACAGCCCCAGCTCCCTCAGCCTCTCCTCTTAGGACTTGTGCTCAAAACCCTTCACCTTTGCCCTGAAGGAGGGTGTGTTCTCCTTATCAGAGCACAGATGATTTTCTTGGCTTCATCTCCCCGTGCCAAGGACTGCACATAAGATAAATCAGAAAAGTGCATGGAGCACTCACTCCTGTTTTGATGCCAGCTGTAGTTCCCTAAGCTTTTAACTGTGATGATTTTGGCTTAGAATATGGACCCAAATCATCCTTCCAAGTTGGTGACTCCAGGTTTTGGGTACAGAACTCTAACTCAGAGGAGTAAAGACCTGACCTGTCACATTTAAACTGAAACTTTGACCTGGATTTCACCTGTATAAATGAGGGCAGACAACCAGTAGCAAGCAAAAATGTGCTGCTTAAGTAGTGGGTGTTTATGTTATAGTTTAATGAATGAGTCTTGACTTATTGCCAAAACCAGGACAACTTCATGGTTAGATCAGACCTTAAATATTTGTTTATGTTCGCATGTTTCTAGAACAGTAAGGAGACAAAAAAATTAAGGAACTAGACATCATGTTGTTTACAGAGAAAGGGTTTATCCAGAGACCTGTTTCATACCTCAGCTCAACAAGGAAGAGACCATTTTAATGTAAATATAGATTTGCAACAGCTGCAAACCCTCCAGTGTGGTTTTCTGACCTGCTTGCCATGTAAACAGTCTCTGAATGGCTTCTCTCCTGAAGTTTTTTAGAAAAAATGTGGCAACTCAGCAATACAGAATTGCTTCAAATATTGTTCAGTAAAATGGGCTGTTCAGGTTAAAAGAAAAACTGAACTCCTAGAGAGGCAGATAATCTTCTATGCTGCCATTTCTGCAGTAGTGAAGTCCCTGTACAAGCAACTGTGGGTAAATAATAGTAGCACAACACATTTTGTTTAGAAACACCAAAAATCCTGTGGGAATGAAATGCCAAAGTCTTGACCCTGTTTTGCTTTCTTAGAGGAAGTGATTAATTTATCATGATAAAACTCCCTTTAGGCTCTTACTCTGCTCACAGATTGCAATTGCCAGTCTTGGCTTCAGCTTTGTTTAGTGACTATTTTTAAATGTGTTATTTCTGAATTGGTCAGAACTATTTAAGCTATATTTTTCAGTTAAGGGGTTGCTGCCTTAAATTAGAGGAAGCTGCATGAAAATGGTTTTGGTACCTTTGTACTGAAGGAAAAAATAGTGGCTTGGTGAGAGTTTAATTTAACCTCCTCGGAGCCTGTGCTGCTTATTATTTGTCTCTTCTCCTTTTCCTGGCTGCCACTGAGAAGAGTTGGGATGAACTTCCCCCAGTAAAGGACTTTGCAGTTCCCTGTGTTGAACTTCAGGAGATCCCAGAAAGAAAGATCCCAGTTGGTATGAATGGATTTCACATCAAATGACTGGAAACCAAACTCAATAAAAATTAATCACTTGAAAAACACAGTGGCTGCAGAGATAATTGAACTTACAATTTCCTGTTGGATAGGAGAGACTTATGGGGAAAAAAGAAATCAACTAAAAATTAGCATTTTCTGTATAGAAGTGCTAGCAGCCAAATAAATAAAATAGTTGTGATTTTATTTTTGTAGCTGCAATTTAGTTACTTAAATTAGTTTGAAAAGTTTACTTTTCCCTAAATTGTGCCATTGATTTTTTTATTTCTTTTTTTAAAGAGAAATCTTTATAGACTCTAGAGATTTCTTTTTACATGGAAAAAAAGTAGAGTTTTGAAGAACTTATTTTGTGATAACATCTCAATTTTGTTTGTACAGTTCCAGAGTGGATGTTAACACAGAGCTATACAAGAGCTCTTATTTCTTGTGTGGGTGTTTTTGTTTTTCTTCTTCGTGTTATTGGCTCAAAGAGGTTTGTAGTGATTACTGTTTAGTGTAGCTGAAAAAATCAGAGAATTTAATCAGAAATCTGAAATGAAGAATGTAATCAGTGTGGAGACAAGAACATTGATATGTTATGACACATGTTTTTTAATTACCTCCTTGATGAATGAAGGTGTCTTGATCCATTTGAGAAAATAATGGCCTTTTAAAAGTGAAGAAGAAAATTATTTTCTCTGCCTTTCGAGTATAGTTTAGTCTTATCTCACAGCCCTCACAGACAAGATGCTAAATAATATGTAAAAACCCAACTATTATGTATTGTTGACCCCATTTTCGTAAGGAATTTTTGTTTTCCAAAGAAACAGTTCCTGTCACTGTTTATTTTTTAATAAATGGCACTTTTTATACAATTAAAATCTAGGTAGTAATATGTCAGTGCCAATGGAAGCGAAGTTTGCAGTGGCCAGATTGTCATGATTGTAAGTGGTTGTAACATCCTGAAGAATTGATTTTTCCCAGTTTCATTGTTCAGGATGAGCCTTTGCAGGTATAAACTCATCAAAGTAAACATCCATTTCCAACATGGGGCATAATCTCACTATGCTCAAAAACCTCTGCCAGAACTGCACTGCCTGAAGAATTCTAATCTATTAATAGTCAGAATTACTACATCA